TAAGTCGTTGAAACAAAAAATTATGACAACAAGGCATGTAGACTGTAGAACACTTCATTTATTTTCGAAAGATATTACATTTTTAAAGAAAAAATGTATCAAGCCAACCCGGAACCTTCTGCAGACACCTTAACCAAATGGTCCAATGAGGCTTTGTTAGGAAATCAAAATCCGATAAAAGCTACTAATTCTTCGCACTCAGTTAATGTCCATGCGTAGTTGCACAGCACTTAGCCCTTGCTGCATGGAAATAACAGAGGTCAATATTATACACCCTCTTCTTATAAACATTTTTACAACAAGACAGAATCTCTGAGATCTGAGATCTGAGATTCTAAACCATCTTGCGATAAATTACACATATATAATATAATATAATATAATATAATATAATATAATATAATATAATATAATATAATATAATATAATATAATATAATATAATATAATATAATATAATACAATATAATATAATATAATATAATATAATATAATATAATATATAATGCCAATTTAATATGCATGCTAATATTTCATTTATATAGGATATATATTAAAATTTCCAAATGTGTTAATACTATCAACCAAATTCTACTTTCCAAAATTAGAAATTTTCATTTTCTCAGTGACAGAAATTTGTTTGTGTAAAAACAACAACAATGATTTAAAATAGGTAAACAACAGCATGCCTTAAGACAGATTGTTAAATCCTTTAATATTTCAGTTGTTCATAAATAACATTTCACAGGCTATTGTTACATTTTGTTGCAGCACTTTGCTGACGATAATGCTTTCTGTGTAATTGGTAGCAATCTTAATGAGGTAAATGACTCTCGAAAAAGCAATTGATAGTATTTTAAATTGTTATTATGAAAATTATTTTTGTCTAAATGCTAACTAAACTTACAATACTAGGGGTAATGCACTATCTGTGCGCAAATTTTGCCCGCTAGCTATGTCTTTTTCTTCTTTTTTTTTGCATACACTATATAACTGTTCGCGCGGTTAAAGCCCGCCCAGGGCGCCTGCGGTTGAGATTTTAGACATATTTCTGGGCGACATGGGCTGCAGTGCTCGCGTTCTGGATTTAGCACATAATAGTAACTAAAGTAGTTACTCAGTAAGCACAAAGCAGTTAGCCCACCTTCAAGTATACAACAGACAGAGGATTTTGTCAGTGTGGTCGGACTGATTTTTTTCCCTGCGTTCACAGCCACAGATTGCAACAAAATAAACACAAAAAAATGTATATATAACGTACAAACAAGCTGTATATATATAACGTAATATATATATATATATATATATATATATATATATATATGTATGTATGTATGTATGTATATAAATCAGGTTAACAGTAATATAAATATATGTATGCATATATATGTATATATATTAATATTAGGCTAATAATAATAATAATAGAGAAAAACCGTCTTGCGATAATGCTATTTAATATATAATTGTTGAACGTTAAAGAAGAATCGAGATTGTGAAAAATGTTATATATTATAAAGTTATATATATATATATGTACATGTACACATCTAGATGTGTATAAGAGACAGTATATATATATATATATATGGATATTCATATATAGATAGATAGATAGACACACAGACATATAGACAGACACACCGATAGATAGATAGATGAGAGATAGATAGATAGATAGATAGATAGATAGATAGATAGATAGATAGATAGATAGATAGATAGATAGATAGATAGATAGATAGATAGATAGATCGATAGATAGACAGATCGATTTGCTAATAATATGTGCTCTATATATTAAAAACGGTAAAGATGCTAACGTAAAAAAATCACTCGGATGGGCAATGTATATAAATTATTGCACTACTAAAATGATACCATGCGTTGTACATAGACCTATCTGACTTGTGGCCCCGAAGCATCACGACATCTTGGATAATTTACTCTCGAGCGAGAAAAAGAATCACGTTTTGGTGCGGTAATTCTGCGATTAATATTTAGAGCCTATAGTGTTAAACCTTAAACGTAATCTCAAGTCAGGAGGTTCAAGCTTGCTTGGCAGTTCAACATTTATTTGTATGTATACCCACGTTGTTGGCTGTATACTTCGGAATCAAACGCTAAATAACCCTTGATAGTGTTACTAATCTTTTCAATATATTGTTAATAGCACTTAAGATGTGGATAGTACGGGGTTAGCTTTAACGCTTATCTAATTCCATAATCCTTACATGGTTAGGAAAATTAAAACATAAGAATATAAATACAAATAAAAAATAAATACTGATTTATAGCATGGGCCGGGTTCTGTGTAATGTTTCTAAATTAATCTATCTTTCCGGATAACAACACACACAAGACAGAACCAAAAGAATCTATGCAGACGCAAACGCAACGCTTTATGCATATACATTTTAAACGGTAAAGAAGGGGAATCTGCGAATAAGATGTGTATAAGAGACAGGTACATTACCTGTCTCTTATACACATCTAGATGTGTATAAGAGACAGCATATATATATATAGAACTTTAACCAAATTAAATCAGATTATTTCACCCTCTTACCACATCAATAGAGTAAAATGCTATATATAGACGCATAGAAAATAACAGAAATCAATATGACACGCCCTCGTCTGAAACATTTTATGTTTATTATAATTTCCTCTGAGGCTTTCCAGTATTCTCTCTTGACTAATTTATCTGCATAATGTTTGTCAGTTATATGAGGGTGTGATCTCGCTTAAATCTTTGATATCCTAGAGGCTACCGTGGTCTAGCTGTAAAGACAATTGACAGCAGATTCAATTTCGCCCAGAGCCCATTTTGCTAATATAACTGATAAATAATTATATTCGTTGAAATGTTATGCTAGATACAATCACAATAATATTTTCCTATATTTGAGCATTTTTTTTATCATTTGTCTATAGATAAAATAAAAAATTATTTTCTTCATCGTACACGGTACAGTACTAAAATTATGTGTCTTCCTGAGTTGTAATACTGAATAAATAACACTACAAAATATTTAAATTATATAGTTTCACAGGGTTAACTTTTTATGATAACTATCTTGAATTTTGTTTCTTGCAGGTGCAGAAAAGGCTGTAGACATGTATCGTGAAATATTTACATGTTTGATTATTGCAGCGGTACTGATGGCTGCTAATGGTCAAAAGAGGCGGATTCACAAAGGAACACAATGGGGCAAACGGACGTCTCTCTACGATGGCGCCGATGAACGTAACCTCTCTGGATACCCTGACCCCTCCAAGCAAATCGACTTAGCCAATCTTGTTCGTGCCTGGATTAATTTTGAGATGCAACGGCAAGAAAATTCAATTAAAGTTCCTAATTATGACCAAGCTCTCGGCTATGATCAATCTAAATTTGAAAAGGTGAATTAAAAGACATTAATTTCAATTAGTACATTACACAATCAAAGTTTTGCATATTACCGTTAACGTAATTACACATAAATAGGTTCGCCTATCAAACTCAGTCCCCGTGTCATTTTCATCCATTATTGATAGGCCTATATACATCCGTTAACAGTTAATCACACCAATTTATCTAGTTGTATGGTACCAAGCTCGTATTTGTGGATAGTGTGAACCCTGGCACAATCACAAACAATACATTTTGGCACACGTAAATAAAATTGAGTATTCCACGCATTTATCGGGTACGGTAAAAAAATATACGTATTAAAAATAATAATAATTATAGTAATAATAATGATCAATAATGATAATGATTATGATAATGATACATACTAATGATGAAGATGGATTTGTTGAAGTTGACGATGTTGATAACATACAGTTCGCCCTCCAATTCGAGACCACCTTTGGGCCCTGAAAATTTAGGGTGGTCTCGGGGTTGGTCTCCAATTAGAGGGCTAGCTTTATGTTAAAAGGTTGAAGAATGTTATTTGGGTTTTTGGAAAAGTGGTCTCGAATAAAAGGGGTCTCGGAATTAAAGAGGTCTAGAATTAGAGGGTGCACTGTGTTAATATTAATACTATTTATTAATATTATTATTATTATTATTAATTAAAATTTATAGTTTTTATCTTGCGTTTGAAAAAGAACACGCATATATTATCGAGGCGAATTTAGTTACTCGACATCATTTTTGAAATTTACATTATGAGAGATATATATTCAAGACGTTACTTACGGTATAATATGTTAGCAAATTCCATTTAAAAACATCACTAAAGGTGTAATAAAAAATCAAACACATGACAATTATTGAAGACGTTTTGAAGATAAACACTTCATGTTTATATTGCTATGACTGTAATACGTTTGTAATTTGCTCATGTTCTATTTTTATAGTGCAGTATGTTAGACTAATTGTACTCTTCTTGTTTTGTATTGTAGGAGATAAAATGAGGCCTTATTCAGCAGCAGAAATTAAAGCGACACATCACGAAATGAACTTTATTTTCTCAATATAATAACGAACATTTTGAAAACACTCTTTTATGTACTTTATATTTAAAGTGGTAAAAGTCGATTACAGAATCGTATGCAAGTATTGTTGCCATCGAGTACAGCACGTCGTTATCCTTTATCACGTAAACTCGAAACAGTGGATTGAAAACAGTTAAAAACGAAAACGTATAGAGGGCGCTATTTGAATATCTTATTATTAGCGCATTCTTAAATCATTGCGCATGTTATAAAATGATATTTTGGAAAAAAAAAGATATGTGCAATGAAAAGAACAAGTGTACAAAATATTAATTATTTTTTATCAGAAATTACGGTAATAAATTGACTCCAACATCACAATTATCCCAATGGAATATTTACCTCGAATCAATTTATACTAATGAAATTGTGTAGCAGATTTATGGCTGAGAATTTAACTGTTCCCTGCTGAGACAGTGCAGTGTGTCTGTTTCGTATTTCTTAGTATTATTCCACCCCCACTGTTGTCACCAGATCTAATATACCGTATACTTTTATGACACAATTGTATAAGCCATACTTACAAATATATGGGCTCAAATCACACCCATGTACACACATAGGCCTATATTAAATATCCTTATAAGAACATATATCCAGAAGTATAAGTTTATGCCCTTTAGTGCTTATCTTTGACTCACTCTGTTTTTCATATCTATCCTATATTTATAAACCCCCCCTGTATTTTTCAACCACCACACAAATTTGACCCAACCGTACATATAAATATATATGTATGTATGTATGTATGTATGTATATACTGTATATGTGTGTATACAGTAAGATATATACATGTTGAACAAAATATACATGAAAATAGCATGCGTATACATGATAATATAAATATGGGCATGCGTGTGTTTTTTAACAAATATGAAATGTAGATATGACCCTAGAGGATAAAAGAATGCAGGCCTATATAAGCATGAAGGTTTATACATTACAACAGAAATAATGTAAAACTCTATTTGACCAAAATGCATAGTACAAACGTTACTATATTATAGACGACTTTTAAGTCAATATAAAAATTATAGAAAGCCCTGTTCGAATTTAAGAATTTCATGTTTTCCTCATTTTGAGATCTTGAAAAGTTTATAAAAAATGTTTCTGAATAAAACTAGTGTTGTTTAGGGCGCAGTAACGAACTCTGTTTCTCTGTTTGGAATGTGTATATGAAAACGATTACCCAAATAAAACAAAGATTGAACCAAAAATTTGTTTTTATTGTGTGTCCAACAGGCCATAATGCACCATCATCATTATCATCATCATCATCATCATCATCATCATCATCATCATCATCATTTTGTTCTGATTTTTTTTTTCTTTTTTCGTGCATATTTTTTTCCTATCTTTCTATCAACTGATCTGAATGAAATATTCGGAAAAGTTGATGTTAATATGAGGTCCATTTAAAGATCTTTTTGTTGACAGTTGATTAAATTACTTAAACGTATATAAAGTACTTAAACCAGTTACAGCTAGGTTAAACTCAAAACACCGTGACATTCATGAAAAAAATTTGCTTTCCGTCATTGAATCGCTATGAACTGAAAATGCACTTTTCTATTCAAGGTCGGCTCATATAGCGCGCAATGGTTATGGTCACGATGTACTTCGCTATTACCATTGCAGCCTAGTTTAAGTCTCATAAATAACGTCGCAGTGATCTTGGTTTTTCGATGTTTTTTTTCCCCACTTCATTTTTTTCCCACTTCATTAAAATTATATTGGTTTTCCGTGTTTTTTTTTTTAACTTTATACCTTTTAACGACTTTTCCTTTTGTTGCAATTTCAACTTCATTTCTCATTAAAGCAATGGGAAAAACCTACTAAGTCTAGTTATTATTATTATTATTAATATTATTATTTTTATTAGGATTATTATTATTATTATTATTATTATTATTATTATTATTATTATTATTATTATTTTAGCTAGCCAAGACTGAAACTTAAATTACATATAATCTGATATCTATAGAGTTCTGTTATTTCGTAGCATACCGGTGATAATTGCACCAGCTAACAATAATAATATTAACAATAACAATAACAACAGCAACAAAATAGAAAGAGAATTAGCAAAATAACAAAGCAATACCTATTTCAATAGCAATGACAATGAAAATAATAAAAAAATAACTAACATTTCGAACACTAACAGAATAAGAAAATAATAATAGTCATGGTAATAATTTTGCAAAATATCAATAAATCTTGAGTTTGATGTCAACCAATCTTGGGGGTGCCCCTTTCTTGGTCACTGTCTCTGAGCACCCAGTCGTCTGTGGCAGGGCAAATGTGTATCCTGTTCCTTTACTCGAGTCACCTAGGTAGGGGTCTGGGATCGCGACAGAGCAGTGATGGATGGTGACCCTTCAAAGATTTGCATTTTCTTTGCCGGACTTGGTAATCTCACAACATAGGTGCGTATAAGTCCAAAATATTAATAATAATAATAATAATAATAATAATAATAATAATAATAATAATAATAATAAGTATTATTATTAGGATTATTATTATTATTATTATTATTATTATTATTATTATTTTAGCTAGCCAAGACTGAAACTTAAATTACATATAATCTGATATCTATAGAGTTCTGTTATTTCGTAGCATACCGGTGAAAATTGCACCAGCTAACAATAATAATATTAACAATAACAACAGCAACAAAATAGAAAGAGAATTAGCAAAATAACAAAGCAATACCTATTTAAATAGCAATGACAATGACAATAATAAAAAATTAACTAACATTTCAAACACTAACAGAATAAGAAAATAATAATAGTCATGGTAATAATTTTGCAAAATATCAATAAATCTTGAGTTTGATGTCAACCAAGAACGACATACCACCAAAACTGAGGAATGGATGGCTATTACACTATACTGTATGATATTATACAAGTACTTATTTGAGATCCAGAGTGCTCAAAATACAGCACAGAAGCAAGTGTAAATTTAAATATCTGGTAGATGACCATGCGACATTGGTGCTATGTCAATATTGTGACGTCTAGTTACACATTTAATAGTGAAAGGGGTTCATCACTTGAGATTTACTTATGTAGCATTGAAAATTAATTATTATGTATATCAGGCAGGTACCGCGGCAGGTGCGAACCACCCACAAAATAATAAAATCCACATTTTATAGTAAAAAATTATGATTTTCCATAAAAATACGATTTTAAGTAGGCATAATTATTGTAATTATTGTACAGTAGGTCAAACAGTCAATATTAAACTATTTCCGTAAAATTTTACTTAAACATCGGTACAAGAGCCATTCATAAATTAAAAAGCTGTAAAATTATTAATATGATTTTCGATGCTGGCGTATTTTAATTTTTTTTTAGCTCAATATTTCCGAGGGCCAATTTTATGTGTGTTTCATTTTTAATTAAAAGAATTAATTTATTCATCAACGTAATTAAAAGACAAAAATGTCATTGTAATAATAATAATAATAATAATAATAAATAATAATAATAATTATAACAATAATAATAATGATAATAATAATAATAATAACAATAATAATAAGCCTATAATTCACATAGTATGTCTTGTAACACATTTCCAGAACTCATTAATTACCTTAGAAATAACATATTTAATAGATATTTCTTAACACACCGTTGAGCAATTGCGCCTATATTGTTTAAATGATTAGGATATACAAAAAATTGTCTTTGTATTATTTTCTCGTCAAGAATACATCACATTAGGCTTTTATTGGCGTATTTTAATCACAGTGCAGGCATGAGCTCATTTTCAGAATTGCTCTCAAAATAACAACGACCATAAAACATTTTTGGTAACATTATCTTCTGAGTCTATCAAATAAGGTTTCCAAAAGTCCAAAACACCGGAGTGCTATAGACCCTTCACTGATCCCTCCGAGAGCCCCTGACGGCCATTGTGTACACAGCAGGTATACCTGACTAAGGGCGATGTCCGGAAACGGTCGTGTACTCAATAAACTTATTTTGGCAAAACTGATAGATAGATAGATAGATAGATAGATAGATAGATAGATAGATAGATAGATAGATAGATAGATAGATAGATAGATAGATAGATAGATAGATAGATAGATAGATAGATAGATAGATAGATAGATAGATAGATAGATAGATAGATAGATAGATAGATAGATAGATAGATAGATAGATAGATAGATAGATAGATAGATAGATAGATAGATAGATAGATAGATAGATAGATAGATAGATAGATAGATAGATAGATAGATAGATAGATAGATAGATAGATAGATAGATAGATAGATAGATAGATAGATAGATAGATAGATAGATAGATAGATAGATAGATAGATAGATAGATAGATAGATAGATAGATAGATAGATAGATAGATAGATAGATAGATAGATAGATAGATAGATAGATAGATAGATAGATAGATAGATAGATAGATAGATAGATAGATAGATAGATAGATAGATAGATAGATAGATAGATAGATAGATAGATAGATAGATAGATAGATAGATAGATAGATAGATAGATAGATAGATAGATAGATAGATAGATAGATAGATAGATAGATAGATAGATAGATAGATAGATAGATAGATAGATAGATAGATAGATAGATAGATAGATAGATAGATAGATAGATAGATAGATAGATAGATAGATAGATAGATAGATAGATAGATAGATAGATAGATAGATAGATAGATAGATAGATAGATAGATAGATAGATAGATAGATAGATAGATAGATAGATAGATAGATAGATAGATAGATAGATAGATAGATAGATAGATAGATAGATAGATAGATAGATAGATAGATAGATAGATAGATAGATAGATAGATAGATAGATAGATAGATAGATAGATAGATAGATAGATAGATAGATAGATAGATAGATAGATAGATAGATAGATAGATAGATAGATAGATAGATAGATAGATAGATAGATAGATAGATAGATAGATAGATAGATAGATAGATAGATAGATAGATAGATAGATAGATAGATAGATAGATAGATAGATAGATAGATAGATAGATAGATAGATAGATAGATAGATAGATAGATAGATAGATAGATAGATGGATAGATAGATAGGTAGGTAGATATATATATGTATATAGATAGATAGATAGATAGATAGATAGATAGATAGATAGATAGATAGATAGATAGATAGATAGATAGATAGATAGATAGATAGATAGATAGATAGATAGATAGATTTGAAGCTTTGAAGTATGGTCTAGTTTACAGCCGTCACTTGTTGAACTACACCTGATAGCCTTTTCTGGCTATTTGTTAAATCTTCAATGTTTTCTTCACGTTTGTTAGCTAATTATTAAAGTTTCTAGATTGTGAACGAACGGATTAGATTATTATCAACAATGGCGAATTAATATTTATGAATGTCATGTTACTGTTTAATATCGATCGTATCATGTCACCTGTCGCCAGTATAAGCACTATGACATTCTGTGATTTATGGTCTTGTTAAGTGCCTTCAACAATACGCACATCTATTGTCTCAGTGCGCTGTAAAAGTTAAGAACAACTATAAACAATACACTTTACAGGTACATAAATACACAGGAGCCAGGAGAAGGGAAAAATCGAAGAAAATTATGACGACATAGTTTG